AGTTCTGTGTGTGTGTGTGTGTGTGTGTGTGTGTGTGTGTGTGTAGGACCGGGCTGAAGGCCTCGTGTTGAAAGTGCTCAGCTCTGTCAAGGCTAGCGATATAGAAAAGGCTGTTCAGTCTCTGGATAAGAGTGGAGTTGATCTCCTGATGAAATACATCTACAAAGGCTTTGAAAGACCCTCAGACAACAGTAGTGCCATCCTACTGCAGTGGCATGAAAAGGTAAATACATTTTTAAAGGAATAGTTCCTTTAAATATGAAAATTCTGGCAATACAACACTCTTAAAAATAAAGGTTCCAAAAGGGGATTTTCACAGCTATGCCATAGAAGAACCTTTTTATGTACCTTTCAGTCAAAAGTATTTAAAAGAACCATTTCTTAGTCTGAAGAACATTTAAAGATCTAAAGAAACTTTTTCAACTATAAAGAACCATCTGTGCGATGTAAAGGTTCCATGATGTTAAAGGTTCTTCATGGAACGATAGATTATTTTTAAAGGGGTAGTTCACCTAAAATTAACTCATCATTTACTGGCCCTGGTGTTATTTTAATGTCATATGCCCTATTTCCTTTTCAGACTACAAAAGTAGAAATTCAAAAAAATACTCACGCTCGTCCATATAATGGCAGTGAAATGTGACTAGCATCAGTCTTTTTAAAAAAGATGCAAAAGTATCACAGAATGGTGTCATATACTCCCTAGTGTTCTGGGGGTATACGATAAGGTTTGGTAAAAAAAAAAAAGGAAACATGAAATTTTACATATTATTTCATAAAAACCTGGCTGTTGTTTTTTGTGCACAACTGCACATTCATGATACGCTAATAGTGTAGTAGCTCACACCAACTCCCCCAGGAAAAGCACACAAGTTGCAAGAAATCAAGATGAATAAAAACATGAAATACAATGTCTATAAATCCCCAAAAAGTGCCTGTGTACACACTGAGTTAAATATATCCAGACTGGAACTCCGGTTGTCAGATGACAGTCAGAATGACAGTTGACATGTGAACGTGATAACTTCTTGTTGCAATTAACTCAACAGATATATTCACCTCAAAGAAGAAAGCACATTGATTGTATTTTGTGCTGTGTTATTATTAATCATGCTTTCTCGCAACTTGTGTGCTTTTTCTGGGCATATCGGAGTGAACTGCAGTGCTAATAGAGTATCATGAACACACAGTCATGCACAGAAACCAGCGGCCAAGGTCAGGATTTTCGTTAGATAATACATTAAATTTAAGTTTGCTTTTCACCAAACCCTATCTAACACTTATATATGACAGATGTCGCATGGGACCATTCTGTGATATTTTTACGTCTTTCTTTAAAAGCTTGATGCTGGTTGTTATTCACTGCCATTATACTATATGGACAAGCACAAGCAGAACATTTCTTTATATTCCTTATTTTGGGGTCTGAAAAAGGAAGGGCATATGGCATTCGAGCAACACCAGGGTGGTTCAATGATGATTTGTTTTTCATTTTTGGGTGAACTACACCTTTAAGAGTCAGTCTCTGTCTGTATAGGCTCTCTCAGCAGGTGGTGTGGGCTCTATCGTCAGAGTGCTCACGGCCAGGAAGACTGTGTAATCTTCAGCACCTCAGCACCGTGGCAGGGTTGGCGGAGGGACTGGCCGGCACAACCCCTCGTGGTCTGGTTTCTGCCCACACTGCCAAACTGTGGAGGATGTCCAGTCACTCACCTTTTTTAAAAACGATCAAACATTACAGTTCCATTTGGATTTCATGCGGTGAAGATAAGCACCTTGGATCTATGTTAACAGAATGGTGATGAGAAAATGTTATTGTTGACCTCAGTCGTTATTAAGCACAGACATTTTAGCTATTATCAAAGGGAACTTTTGATCTTTGCTCGTCTGCTTCACATACTTCACATTCTCATACCTGTCCTGATGTAAAGTCTCAACCGAACAGAACAAACAGTACATGTAATCACATGACTAAATCTTTAATCATGTTATTACAGTGGCAGGTGATGGTACTCTAGGGGTGTGTTGTTTTTTGTTTTACTTAAAGGGATAGTCCACCGAAAAGTATGTCATCATTTACTCACCCACATGTTGTACCAAACCTGTTTGACTGTGGAACATAAAAGAAGATATTTTGAAGAACTTTAGGGTCCAAACAACATTCCATGTTTTCTTTTGTGTTAAACAGAAGAAAGTCAAACAGATTTGGATGAAAGTGAATAAATGATGACAGCATTTTCATTTTTTTGTGTGAACTACTACTTTAAGAAGGTGATCAAGCTTTCGTTCACAGGATTTTTACTTTACACTCTTTTCTTCATCTGCTTCTTTTTAAAACATAATCAGAGTTGGTCTATGGAACATGCAACATCAGTATTTGCTTTTTCCTACTTGCATGCATTGCATTATATATATATATATATATATATATAAGTTCAGAGCTGGATGTTGAATCCAACCTTATATGAACACCTGTGCTTTCAAGAGGGAGATTTCCAGCTTAATTTCTTGTGATCAGAGTGCTTATTTTCCTCCACAGTCCCTTCAGTAATTCATGCACTTTCTAGAAACTCTTTTGTTCCATATCACACCGGATCACGTTTTAAGAAACAAAAAAGGGAATAACTTTTCTTAAGTTGCCAAAAACATTTATATTGTCATGATTGTTGATTAAAACTAGTGTGTGTTTTTGTACTCCTTCAAAAACGATGAGTTTAATTTTTTTATAACGCTGAGTATTATTAGATTATCCAACAAAAGCTTATGTATATTTTGATCATATCATTTTTGAACTGTATTAGATGTTACCAATTGTAGAACATGATTAACATCAACATGTACTTTGAACTCAGACTTTATGTCAGGTGCTGATGATATAGCTAACCTCTGAGACACACAAGTGTTTGTGTACTCTCACAATTCCCACCAAACACGCAGCTAGCACTCAAGCTGCAGTGGAGAATTTTGCTTCCACTGTGGTCTACTTGTTTTTGCCATACTTGAAGCCATACATAAACAACCCAAGGAACTTGTTCATTTACGATTCCAAGTGAATGTTGAGTTTGCATCACACCAGTCAATCATATGATTAAGTGCAAAAAATTATGAAATGGTTTACCAACTGCCTTATAAAATATTCCTTTTATATTGTATCGTCCTTTTGAAAAATAAATTAAATGAATACAAACTTTGTCACTTTTCCATCTTTGTAGATTATGCATACCTAAAGGCCTGTTTAAGGTCTGTAAGTGATGTATGTCTGCAGTGTGACAGTTATTATTGTTCATTAAAACAAAAAACATTTCCGTTATATGGAATTAAAAAAGGAGGGAAAAAACGATTTAATTGTAGCTAGTTGCCATAGCAACGTTTTTCATTTTATTTTAGTTTGATGATGTGCTAAAATAACTAAAACTAAATTTAAAAAAAATGAAACTAGACCTATTTACATAAACAAAAACCAATGAAAATGACAAAAACAATCCATAAACTATAAAAAAAAAAATCCATTCCTCCAGTGGAAAAGTCCATCCTCTGTTGTCGTCTCACATAAAAATCAACCAACATATTTGTTTTGGACTGTTTTCGCTTGTAAACAGTGCTTGGCCCGTGCATGTTTCTCTCCTGATTGCACTTTTTCACTGGAAAAAGCAATATTATTGAGAGAGGACTTCTGGTTTTAGCCAGAAATAGTTTGAAGTTAAAAACATCTCAATGATGAATTTGTTTCTTACAGACATTCAGCTTTTCACTTCACGAGACATTAACTGATGGACTGAGTCGTGTGGGGTACTTGTGGATTATTGTGGTGTTTGTATCAGCTGTTTGGACTCTCATTCTGACGGCACCCATTCACTGCAGAGGATCCATTGGTGAGCAAGTGATGTAATGCTAATTTTATCCAGATCTGTTCAAAGAAACAAACTCATCTACATGTTGGATGGCCTGAGGGCGAGTACATTTTTTAGCCAAAATATGCACTGTGATGTTATTACGCTCAGGGCTTTTCATGTCAGTCACATGGGGGCGCTGTTTCCTTTGCTATTATATGCACTGTTGTAGATGTAAAATTCTCATTTAATCCCATCTAAATGTGCAAATGTGGGTCAAAAGAAGTGGCATCATGTGACAAGTTCAAAGATCAATAATAATGTATGTGGAGTGAATATCATTTTAATATTGATAAAGTATTCTAAAATATTTAGATTGATTAGGTTTGTGATTTCATAGGAATGAAGCACTCTGTCCATATTCCAGGTCATTGATCCAGAGCAATAAATGCCTAACAGAAATCAACAACACAATGTACACTGTTTATGTTGATTTCTTAGAAACCCATACATCCAAAAAGTATTATAGAGAGAAGAGGTCATAAATATGGAATTCCTGATGTCTTATATAATACTGAAGGTAAAGGTATGCTGCTGATTGCTTTCAAATGTAATTCAAATGATCAAAACCAGGATTTCAAAGAAAAGGATTAAAAGTCTTAAGTCTGTTACCAAAAAGAAGACCTACTTGTATATTTGATCACAGTTATTTATTAATTTCAGGTATTACTAACAGGAAGGTACTGACTGCTGGTAAGAATCACCTGGAAATCTGCCAGTTTCACTTTGTAGTGAAATTTTTTTTTTTTCTCCACAAAAAGCTGATTTAAATGTCAACATACCTCAGTGACAATGGTCTGACAAGTACATTGAATCGAAACAAAAACAAAAAAAATGACACAAAATGACTATAAATTTAACTAAAATGTAAAAATATAAACAATAAAAAATATTAAGAACTACAATAGTAGCATCTTTAAAAAAAATCAGTTTATGTTTGTGTTTATTATAAAAGTGAGCACTTCCAAAAATAAATCAATAACATGAAAATTGCTAGTGTTTTTATAAATAAATATTTGATTATCATAAAACTCTATACTGTATTGCTCAATTTAATTAGACCAATGAAACACTTGAATAAAACTTAGATAAGACTCATTCCTGAGTCTAGAGAAGTCTTGATTATATAAGTGTGGCTTATATAAGTGTATAGTTTGTGTGGCAGTCAACATCTCCACACAACATACCTCAGTGACAATGGTCTGACAAGTACATTGAATCGAAACAAAAACAAAAAAAATCAAACAAAATGACTATAAATTTAACTAAAATGTAAAAATATAAACAATAAAAAATATTAAGAACTACAATAGTAGCATCTTTAAAAAAAATCAGTTTATGTTTGTGTTTATTATAAAAGTGAGCACTTCCAAAAATAAATAAATAACATGAAAATTGCTAGTGTTTTTATAAATAAATATTTGATTATCATAAAACTCTATACTGTATAGCTCAATTTAATTAGACCAATGAAACACTTGAATAAAACTTAGATAAGACTCATTCCTGAGTCTAGAGAAGTCTTGATTATATAAGTGTGGCTTATATAAGTGTATAGTTTGTGTGGCAGTCAACATCTCCACACAACTTAAATGGCTTGCATAACCAAAGCACTTCTTACTGGTTCCATGCTTACAAAATAAAGGACACGTACAGGTGGCTTACCGTTATTGCAAAATAAACCTAAATAGAAATATAAAAACAGTGCAGTAAAAAAAAATAGAGAACAGTTTCATGTACTGTATCCACACCCATTTATGCTGTGTGTGTGGAAAATAGCGAGCAGGTTATTATAAAGACTTGTTTATCATTCTACTAAAGGTATAATTGTTATTACCTTAATTAGAATTATGGCAATATTAGGAATAAAAGGAAGATTTTAAAATTAAAATGAAATTAAATTAATTTGTATGGCATTTTTCATAATGATTATCACTTCCAAACCAGCTTCAGAGACAATTGACACACACAATCAAGTTCAAGTGAACAAGTATAAGGTGATATTCGTGAAGAAGTTTAGAAAGATAGACACCAATATAAACTATAAGTAATAGACAAATATAAATTATAATGAGACATTTAGAAATAAAATTACAATATATTTTATAAAAAAAAAGAAAAGAAAAGTTTGTTTCCTTGACAAATGTTTTCAATCTTCCTCTCTTATCACACTGTGATACTCTTATACAAACCTAACAATAACAAAAACTGCAAATAATAGCATTCATTAGATTAATGGCATATCTGCAGGCTGTATCATCAGCAATGTTAGCTTTCAGAGGCCTGAATTTGACTTATGAAAATGACTTAGGTATGTTGTCAAACCATGTTCAGCAGAGTGCCTTATGTAAGCCATGCTCAACTGAGCAACAGTTTGCATAGAGGGATCCATTGAGAGAGGGCAGGAGGAGGCATGTCTGTCTACATATTCATGTTTCTTTTTCTAAGTGGCTGGAAACCATGGAGACAGCTGGCTAAGGTGGAGGTAGTTACATAATATAGATCTCCACAGAGGAAATAGAACAAATTGCAAAATGACATCACAGGAAATATGACATCTATTAATTGACAATACTAATTTTTTATGCAGCGATACACATTACGGTCTTCTTTATTGGCCTTTATTTTCTGTGTTTATCAAATTGCATAATGTTTGCCTCTGGTCTGAACTGGAATTATGCATTGAAATAAAATTAACATTTCTTCTAACCGCATCTCTGAAACGGACCGCTCCTCTCAGATTACTAGCACTTTAACCGTTTAAAACCAGGAAATGTCCGATTATCGTTGAAGAGGTAATTTAGTTAAAGATTAAAGATGAAAATGAAAGGAGAAGAACTGAAGGAAAATTGTTTTTTTTATTATTGTTTGTTTTTTGCAGAACGACAGCCTCAGTCACCATTTAACGTTACTTATTTTGAAAGTGAATATTTAACGTTGCTTAGGCTGTCGTTCTGCCTAAAATCTCATTTTCTTTCAGTTCCACATTCGGGTTCTGGTCATTTTGGGTGAACAAATGACGCAGTGTTCGTTTCGTTTGAACGAACCGTTTGACAATACAGCTGGGTCTTTTCAGGTATTTCTAATTCATTAATCACATAGATATGTAATACCTCAGTAATTATACAGTATGTTGTCTTAGTCACATGACCTGCTGACCTAGTACAGACCTAATGCGATGTTTATATTGCAGACT